CGGCCTCAAACTCACAGAGATCCACTTGTCCCTGTCTCCTGAATTTTGGGATTAAAGGAATGTGTTACCACACCTGGCTTGACCAATGAATTTTTTTAAAATTTTGTTTCTTCCTTCTTAGGGTCTTCCCTGTAGCCCCAGATGGCCTGGAACTCACTATGTAGAGCAGGCTGGCCTTGAACTCACACAGATTCGCCTGCCTCTGCTTCCCGAGTGCTGGGACTGCAGACGTGCACCACCACGCCTGGCTATTATTTCTTTCTCTTAAAGAAAATCAATTAGAGCTTTTCTTATGTGGAATTCCTATATGCTAACAAAAATATAGTTGAGTCAAATTCATAATTTGGTTAACATCCTTTCCTTTTAAAAATTATTTTTTATTTTTAATTATGTGTACGTATGTTATGGGGATATGTACACATGAGTGCAGGTGCCCAAGGAGTCCAGAAGGAGATCCCCTGGAGCTGGAGTTACAGACCACTGTGGGCACCTAACAAGGATGTTAAGAACCAAACTTGGATCCTTTGCAAAAAAAAAAAATAAAAGCCAGTACTCATTCTGAACTACCAAGCCATCCCTCCAGCCCTTTTTATGTATTTTAATTTTTGTTTCTGTTTGTTGTTGCTGAGACAGGATCTCATTTATCTCAGGTTTGCTCTGTAGCCAAGGATGGACTTGAATGTCTGTCTGATCCTGCCTCTACTTCTTCAGTGCTGGAATTACAAGCGTTCATCACCACATCCAGTTTATGCTGTACTTCGGTCAAACCCATGGTCTTGTTCATGCTAGGCAAGCAAGCACTCTACCAACTGAGCTGCATCTTTTTCTGTTTTCTGATACAGGGTATCAAACCTCAAACCTAAGACCTCAAACCTAAGGCCTCAAACCTAAGGCCTCAAACCTAAGGCCTCAAACCCAAGGCATTCCTTCTGCCTCAGCCTCCCAAGTATTTCGATTACAGAAGTGAGCAGCCACACCTGGCTTAGATACCGCCTCTGAGACACATGCCTCAGTTGTATTTTACATGGCTTCAGATGGCCACTGAACTTGACAGATAATTTGTAAGAAGTAGAAACGCCCTCTAATGGTTACAGCTAGGATGCAGGCCATGAATACCAGTTTCATGTTCTTCTTCATAGGTTTTGAATTAACCTGTTCATCAGCTCACAAAAATTGCTCTGTCACTTAGTAGCTGTGTGACTGGGGCAAGTCACTTAACCTCCTCATTGTCCTTATTTGTAGAATGGGAGAGAAGGGCCGTGGGCTTCTGTGAGGACTAAACGAGTGAAAACAAAGTATTCAGAGCAAGGTCCAGCGTGTAAGATGTATGCAGTGAAATGCTAGGCTTAGTGTTTGTTATTACAGGATACTTTCCCATAGAGCTTGTATTGCACAAGAAAAAACTGTTGACACCTTTCTAGTCTAGAGAGTTGCATACGTTTTACAAATGTCTCCTTTCTGTTTCTACCCCCATCACCTACAGGGATTATCTCAGTGACCAAGCCTTGTGGAGCAAGTGCGAACAGCCTCCAGATGTGGTTCCCTGGAATCTGACCCTCTTCTCCATCCTTCTGGTCACTGGAGGGATCCAGATGGTTCTCTGTGCCATACAGGTGATCAACGGTCTCCTGGGAACCCTCTGTGGAGACTGCCAATGCTGTGGCTGCTGTGGGGTAAGTTCTTCTCAGAGAGAAGGGGGCCAAGTCCAGCCACCGTCACTCATGAGATGGGGGTGTTGAGTATGGCCGCCTGCAGAAAACCTGGCCCCTCTGAGGCTCCTGTAAATGCGTTCTGACAGCTCATAGAAGCAGGGATGTTTCATTACTGCACGTATAGCAAGCCAGGCTGAAGCTGACCACACTTTCCAGTCCCCCACCTACCTACATGTGAAACTACATTTGTATAAAGGGCCTCAGGAAATGAGCATTCTCCAGAGGACCATGTTATTAGAAGGGATATTTCACGTCTGGCCTAGAATTCTCACTTCTTCAGAACAGGATCAATGCAGAATTTCTTTAATTTCTGATACAGAAAAGAGAAATTTGCATATATAGGAAGAGAAAAAAGTAAAATCACTCAAAATTTAGTTTCTAAATTCCATCATAAAATATCAATAACAAAATGTAAACAATAAATAAACATGTAGACAATAAGATAGTCTGATTATTTCAACCAACAACCAAATTAGGTCACGTAATTATATATGCACGTTTATTATAAAACACAGATTGATATGAGTAAAAAATTTGTTATATTTTTGAATAAGCAATATATGTATAAATAGGTGTATATACACCTATACAATAACATAAAAGATAATCATTTGGGAAGTCTCTTCCCTTTGCTTCTATACACCCAGGTCTCCTCAAGTCCCCTCACTCTATAGAGCCACATAATTTCTTATATATTCTCCCAAAGTCCTTTAAAATTTTTTTAATGTGTCTATCTTATAAGAATAGTCTTGCTGATTAAACCCAACACCCAGGAGGCAGAGGCAGGCAGACCTCTGTAAGACTGAGGCTAGCCTGTTTATATAATGAGTTCCAGGCCAGCTTGGCTATAGGAAGATCCTCTCTTAAAAATTAAAATTACAAAAAGAATATTCTTCCTAAAACTATAATGATATTTGAAACACTGGACTGAGGGTATAGCTCAGAGGTAAAGCATTTGCCTAACATGCACAAAGCTCTGTACACCATTGCCAGGACTATATGTGTGTGTGTGTGTGTGTGTGTGTATGTGTGTGTGTGTATGTATGTATGTGTGTAAGTTTCTGTATTCTGCTCTTTTCAGATAACACTATATACATGATATAGGTATTTAAATAATTAAATTACATTAAATAATATACAATTACAAAAATAAGAAAAATAACTATGAATAGAAAAATAAAACGACAAAAATCCATCCAAAATGCTAAGCCACAGTTGTTTCTAAATGTGAAGAATGACTTTTTTTCTTCCCTTTAGCTTATAATACTCCAAAAAGTTAATAATCATACATTGCCTTGAAAATATAAAAAATGGGGGCTAGCAAGATGGCTCAGTGGGTAGTTCAGTCTTCGGTACCCACATGATGGAAGGAGTGAACCAATTCCCACAAGTTGTTTTCTGATCTCCATTCATGCACCCTGGACATGCACACACACACAAAATAAATGTTTTCAAAAATTAAGTAAGAGCTCATTTCTTTTGAGAATTGAAATCTGTTCATTTGACAATTATTTCCTGTATCCAAGGGACTGTGCTAGGCACTTGAGTAATTAAGAGAAAGTGCTGCAAGGCTGTTTTTTGCCCTTAAAGCACACTGTGCAGCTGGGCGGTGCAGCTAGGGGGAACGTGACATGGAAAGTGAAAAGTAATGCAGGAGAGTCACAGTGCTGAGTGTGTTCAGAGTTGGCCCTGCAGCCATTCTTTTTGTTTTTTGTTTTTTGTAATATTTTATTTATTATTTTTATTTTATATGTGTGCATGCATTGCCTAGGTAAGTGCACCCATGTCATGCAATACCCATGGAGGACAGAAGAGGCTGTCAAACCCCTGGAACTGGAGTTACAGACATTATTTAAAATATAACTGCTCTTTGAATAGATAATAATAGTTGACTAAATCGAAGGATATCTGCCGATTTAAAAGCATACCATATATAAGCACCAGTAAGTCGAGTCTTTTCACTGTGTTTCATTTATTCAGGCTCCAAATTTTGGTAATTTTAATGACTAAATCCTTGAGAACAGAAAGACACAGGAGGGATTCATGGTTTTCAGCATGTGGGCACTGGGGGTTAAGAAAGTGATCCACCAGAAATCCCTTTTCTTTCCTTCTTTCACCCCTCTCTCCCACTTTTTATTTTGAAAACAAATCTGCATGAGTTGAAGGGACATGCAGTGCGAGCTGGTGACTTGCGCCAGTATCCACAGCTTGTTAGTGTTTGTCCTGACCCTTTCTAAACTCTTGGAAAGTAATTCGCAGTCATCATGAACTTCATCACTGTGACTTCCAAAGCACCAGAGCTGTAGCTCTGAAATGCTATCTGATGAGGATTCCTCTTCTTGTGGGTGACTTGCCTCTCATCCAGAGACATCATCCCTGCCCCAGTAGGATATCGTCTCTGCCCCAGTAGGATAGTTCTGAAAGAGCCCAGTACCACATTTATGAGTCACGTGGCCTGAGCAAGTTGAATGACTGACTCCTCAGTATCCCGTTATCCCAATTGCCTGTTGCCCTACTTACGCAGAAAGTATCTAGTGAGAGCCTCTGGAGCCTGGCGTGGTCTCTAAATAAAGATGGGGAGAAGCAGGGAACCTGGCGGTTAAGAGCACTGACTGCTCTTGCAGAGGATGGGGGGTTTGATTCCCAGCATCCACACGGTGGCTAACAACCATCTATAACTCCAGTTCCAGGAGATTCAATGCCCTCTTCTGACTTCCATGGGCTTTGCACGACATGGGTGCGCCTACACACATGCAGGCAATAAACTCATGCACATGCAAAAAAATAAAAATAATAAAATATAATACATAAAATATTTTTAAAAAATATATAGATGGGAATATGCTTTAAAATTCAAACTGTGGGGGCTGGAGAGATGACTCAGAGATTAAGAGCACTTGCTGCTCTTGCAGAGGACATGGGTTCAGTACCCAACACCCATGTGGTAGTTCAAAACCACCTGTAACTCCAATTCCAGGGCACTTGGTACCCTTTTCTCTCCTCCATGTGCATTGCACACATATGGTGCACTTACATACATGGAGACAAAATACTCACAGACATAAAATAAAAATAAACAAAAATTTAAAATCAACCTGTCAGAACTAGGAAGCGGCACTAGTGGTCAGTTGCCCTCCACTACTTCTTGTCTATAAAATGTACTCGCTCCATCTCCCAAGTTTACTGACTCAGTGTCTGCTACAGGGTCATAACCACACATGCCTTTCACATTTATGAGACTTAGCAGATGATAGTGATAACTGTTTACTAGCCATATGAAAATAAGGAAGGCAGCATCGGCTCAAGGAATGGAGCACTCTACCTGGGTTCTGGGTTCAAGTTCTGACTCCTCTGTGTAATTCACTGGGGGTTTCAACAAAGCACTTTTTTCTCTTAACCTCTTACCAACATTGTTTTTAACATCAATGATGCAAAAGAAAATGAAGTTTCTATACCTGTAACTGAAGCACAGTTAAGCCACAAAGTCTGAAACAAAATCAGCAAAATACAGAAAGCAGTCAGTAGGTAACTACTAACAGGCAAGAATAATCAACAGGAAGAATGGTACTGGGTAAGGGGAGAAAATTGAAAGTAAAGTTAATTAATAACTAATTTTCTTTTTCTATTCTCAAGGGGGATGGACCAGTATAATCATCTGCAAATGAGCTCCTTCACCTCTATAGCAGGCAGTAGGACACGCCTGAGACCCAGCCTTTTCGCATGGGTTGCTAGTTCCTGTCTACTTCATCTCTGGTGAAGCGTGGGAGCAGGAGGGATCTTTTCCTTGTTCCAGACAACTTGGATCAAGCTATAAATTTATTTCCAAATTAAAAAATAGTCGGGCAACTTTGTAAATTTGACGTATATGTACACCTTTCAAGTGAGCTCCACTGTAGAATTTAGGAATAAGTTCAAAGCAAATTTTTCATGATTTTCCCCTAAACATGTAAAATAGATGGTCATCTGTCCTGCCACACCACTTCGTTGTATACAGAAATGATCATATCTTAGGAAGCTTTGCATAATTCAGAAGGGGAAGGAATATTAAAATGGAAAATGAGTTTTTCAGTATTTATGGATAAAGAAAAGAGTGACTAATGTGTCATAATTCTTATGTGATGCCTGTTTTGGCTAACTTATCTGGGTTACTTGTGCCAGGGTTCCCGCATGTATATTAAATTAAATTAATTAAATTCACAATTAAAATAATAAAAACTGTGTGTATTGGGGCAGGAGAAGGAAAAGGCTAGGTGAATGATGCCTTTCGTTCTTTTTTATAAAAGATTTATTTTATGTGTATGAGTGCTTTGCCTGCATGTATGTATATGTACCATGTGTGCAGTGCTCCCAGAGGCCAGAAGAGAGTTGGGTTACCTGGAACTGGAGTTACAGATGGTTATGAGCTACCACGTAGGTGCTGGGTACTGAACCCGGTCGTCTGCAAGAGCAGCAAGTGCTCTTAACCACCGAACCAGCCGTCTCTCCAGCCCCCTTTATCCTTTTGTGTATTTTAAAAAATAAATGCATTTTTTTCTTTTCTGTTCTTTCCTTCCTTCTTCTGTCCTTCCTTCTTTCTTTCTTAGCTTTGCAATGCAACCTAGGCTACACTAGAACTAAAGTCTTCCCATAGCTACCCTCTGAGTGTTGGGATTACAGGTATGTGCTACCATGCCTGGCCAAACACTGTTTGATCAAGCATTGAAAAGTTTTTAAGTTGATTTGAATAATAATTTTTCAGCCTCTTGGACTAGATTAAATCAATAGGTACTAATTCTATTTGCTATAATAACACATTAACTTTGGTTTTACAAGTCAGGCGCTGTATTAGTTACTTTTCTGTTGCTGTGATAAAACACCGTAACAAAAGCAACTTACAGAAGGAAGAGTTTATTTATTTGAGCTTACAGTTCACAGAGTTGTGTCCATAATGGCAGGGGAGGCATGGTAACAGAGGCGGCCAGTACAGAAAGCTGAGAGAGCACATCTTCGGGCAGGCACAAGAAGCCGAGTGTGACTGGAAATCTGGCAAGGTTTAAGAATTCTCAAAACCCGTCCCCAGTGGCATGCGTCCTCCAGCAAGACCACATCTCCTAAAGGTTCCACAGCCTCTTCATATAACACTGTAAACAGGGGACCAAGCATTCAAATGATTGGACCTATGGAGGACATTCTCATTCCAGCCACCACAGGTACTAAATATGAAGCCAGATTCATTTGGGTTCAAATTTCATCTCTATAGTACACCAGTTTAGGGGCCAGCTTAGAGGGCCAGCTGAAAAGCGAGTTTCTAAGTCTCAGTCGTCTCCATCTGTACAAGAACTATTGAAAGACGTTCATCCTGGAAATTCTTTAGTCACTCAGTTATGAAGCAAAGACTTGCAGTGTTGTCAGGGTGACTTATGAACAATACAGCGGAACCTCAGAGGGAATTACCATCCAGTCTCACTTCCGTACCTGTCGAGCAGGTGAGCTGTTCTGTATAGTTGGCCACACCGAAAACTCAGTCCCTACACTCTCACCTACTGTGCACTGACCACCCAAGGGTCAGGCGCTGGAGGCACAAAAAGTTCCATGTTATGATTTTGCCCTTATTGCGATATGGTAATAAAAGTTCCATGTTATGATTTTGCCCTTATTGCGATATGGTAATAAACTCTGTGATGCAAGAGAGCACAACTGATACCTGAAATTCACCTGGCAGAAGGCCAGGTACACGAGCCCTTAAGGTCTTGCTGGGAGACTATAAACCTCTCTCTCTCTCTCTCTCTCTCTCTCTCTCTCTCTCTCTCTTCCTCTCTTTAGACCTTTGGTTCTGAAATGTGATTATCAAACTTACCTATGCAAGCTCTAAAGCTACACATTCTCAAGCCCGTACTCAACCTACTCCACTTGAACATCCAGGCAGCTCACCAGGTGATGCTGGAAAACAGTCACTTTGCACAGCCATCACCTTAGATGACAGCCTGTCAGGCAGGATGAGGCCCAGTCAGGCCTAGTCACAGCCACTCAGGAGCTCAGCCTACTGGCAGCACATGCTGAATCCTGAAGGGTGGCTTCTATGACAGTGCTCACGGCAATGCGTGCCCATTGGGCCCAATTCACCCACTGGAGCTCTTTGATGAGGAAATGGGGATGAGCAGAAGAGGATTAGTTACATAGGGGTTTTATTGACACGGCCTCTTAGAAGGAGAACATGCATTTATACAGTCATCATTAGATCTGGTCTCATTATACATGAAAGACTGAAACAAGTCTTTGACAAGTTTTCATTCAAAAGGATGTTCTTCAAATAGTTTCCATACAATTAGGGAAATCAGCTATCATGGATAAAAGGGTGGAGAAGAAAGAGACAGAAGATGAAAGGACTACACTCTGAGGTCTCCCTACAGCTCTCCTCCCCACCCCCCACCTCTTTCTCTCTCTCCCCCAACCCCCAGAGTCTCAGGAACTTCTCTCAGAGGAGCTACACTGCACATACAGTTGGAGGCAAGGAAAGCATGTGATTCAAATCTATACTTGAGTGTCTAACATGGCGTCTTGACATCATTCAGAAACAAAAGAGGATATAAGGACATGTAGTTCAGCTGAGACAAGCTTGACATTGTAAAACTGCTGCACCAAATTTGGAGGGCGAAGGGGTTTTTGGTTTTGTGGTGTGTGTGCATGTGCTGTTTCTTAATCTAGGCCAGTGTTTCTGAACTCCACACCACTGCCAGTCCTCTATAATCTCATGGGATGTCCAGGATATGTCTACATGGCTGCCACTGTCAGACCACCTAAACTTCCTTCCCTTCCTGCCCCTGTGGCCTCACCATTTGTGGCCCACGTGGCTTCTTTGTTGGTTGGCCTCAGTCACTGCCTACAGCTTTCTTCAGAAGACATTCCACTCTCCTGGCATCTCTCCACAATGCCTTTGGCTCTCCTCTCCTAGTTCATGAATTGCCTGCAGGGCTCCTGACCCTACCACCCATGGCTTGGCATCCCAGCCCTCCCTTTGAAGTCCTCGTAGAGGCCTCTATAACCCTATAACCCTTGCATTTTCCACCTCCTCTGGCCCGAGGACCCCTTGACTCTAGTGCCTTGTCTCATATGTGTGTGTACTTCTCTGGAGCACATAGAAGTGAGCTGTCATCACTGTTATGTTGATATGACTAAACTGTTCTGCTCAAGAGAAAAAGAAAATCTTTAACACATGGGTCTTCGGGAGATATTTAAGATCATATGCAGTAAATAGGACATTTCTGAGCATCAAATGCGAGGGGGCAGAAAAGCACAGAGGGAGAGAGAAAAAAGGAATTCCTAGCAAGGCTGGTGAAAGAAAATTAAAACCTCTACAAGACACGTATGCAGCTTCCTACTGCCTATTGGAAAAATGAAAGTTGTGCCACCAGAATAACTCCAAGGACCAGTGAGACAGCATTTAGGTGACATCAGTTCTTTTTACCCTCTTTTAAAATTTCTATTTATTTATTATTTATTTATTTATATTTTCTGCATGTGATGCCCTTGGAGGCCAGAAGAGGGTGTTGGAACTGGAGTTGTGGACCGTTGTTAACCTCCATGTGGATGCTGAGAACTGAACCCAGGTCCTCTGCACCGGCAGCCAGTGCTCTTAGCCTCTGAGTCATCTCTCCAGACCCTCTTTTTTTACCCTCTTATCTAAAAGCAATATGGAAAGTTCACATTTGAACTTTAGTGTTTGTTTTTAATTTGTTTTCATGAACTTTTTATAATGAACACAATAAGTTAGAAGTCATATAATTCATGAATTAAAAAGTAAACAAGCAAATACCATTTCAGTGTTCAGTAATTAAGAAGAATTACACATCAAGAATGGCGGGCCTCAAACCTGAAGGTACTGCAGTTTGTTGGGAAAATGCTATTTCCAGCCCTCAGCCTCCTGAAGGGTCAGGAAGTCTGAGAAGTTACGCTTTATACGTATATAACAACTAAGGTATTCTAAGGCCGATGAGCCATCGAGGGCTCTTACAATAACTTTATTTTTCCTGCTTTTTAATGTATTTAATGATTTTATTCTCACTAAAAAGCCAGAGCCCTCTCTCTGTCAAAGGGTATTCAGAAGAAAGCAAGCAGAGAGAAGCATCTGTGCGCACGGCTCCCTCTGGACCTTTTGGGGCCGCTCTCAGGCGGATCCGCGGCGCCGCAGCCGGTCTCCACGTCTAACAAAGCCGTCTGCTGCTCTCTACTGGCGGCTCGGCTCGGCCGTCTGCGGGCGGCACAGTAACAGGATGCTTCAGACAGTTTATTCAAGGCACGTTTGGCCACCTTTCTGAAGAATTTTATTTTTCTCCAATGTTGTCCCATGAAGGAACATTTTCCAAAAACCTCATAAAGGCGACGCACAGAAGTGAGAACAAGCGAGTCCATCAAAGATGGAAAAGGTTTCAGTGTAAGTCATTGTTCAAGATGCTAACAAGCAATTCCTGCTCCATGATGCTGCCAGGCTAATAACGGACAACACCAGCAAACAAGCTCTCTCTTACCATTACATACTGCTAAGCGCTGTGAGAAGCCTGTGGCCTGGGAAGAGAGGTGAATGGAAACACTTTAAAAGAAAGGAAGTATTTATTGACCGCCTGCTTTGGTGTTTCCCACGAGTTGTCTTAAGCGCTATCATTCTCATGGTCCCCTCGTTTTTATGACGATTTTCCACGTAAAAGAACTGACCTTGCAAGACTTTAAGAAACTTGGCTAAGACCCAACGTTAATTAATAACAACTGCATGGCACTGAACTTCTCAACTGGCTGTAGGAATGAAGCCTAGGGCAAATTTGTAAAGGAGACTGCCCACACATGCCCTTCATTAACACACACCCACGCTCTGCAGGGACTCCATATATGTTGCATGGAATGTTCTGGACCTTTCTCTCCCATTTCTCTCTTTATCTGCGTCTCTGAGATTCTTATTTCACTCTGTGCCAACCCTGTAGATAGGCTCTCTTCTAGACTGCAGGGGGCTAATGACTATGAACTTCTGCTAAGCCC